AATGATTGGTTTCAAAAGGTGAGGCTGCGCCGCCCTTAATTAGCTCATGAGCTGGGCTTGTGATCAGGCCAAGGCAAGGCGGACCCGCAATTGGCTTGGAATTATATATGGCGTGACGTTGGAATTAGTTTTCTTAGATTATTAGAATTGGTTCTCTGTAGTATGCCATAAGAATTAGTTTTTTGCTATTTGCATTTAGTTTTCTTTTGTTTGCAGAGGTTAAAATATCTATATATATAATTATCTATATACATTGTCAGTGAGTGTTTGCATAAATACTGCACCTACGGGGCTCTGGGAATAATGATTAGACTATGATGGAAGGTTAAAGGTGCCACTTGATTTTCTTCTTCGTTGAGACTTTAAGTCGTTGCTTTTAGTTTTTTTCGCAGAAACTCACGCGGCATCTTTAACCTTTCGTTGCAGTTTAATCATTGTTCGCCATGCCCCGTAGGTGCAGCATTTAGATAAACATCGACTGAAGACAGGTTTCCTGCTTTGAAATATTTTCTCGTTCGTAAATTAATTCCGTTTGTATTTTTTTCCTTTTTATATTTGCATTTAATTATGTGGAAGCAGGAAAGCGGTGTGATTACTTTGTCAGAATAATTTGTGTGTTTTTCCCGAGTTTATTCTGAAAGATGAAATTGACGTATTGTGTTAGCTATGAATTGCCAGTTTTCATCAGACATTATTCATTAATTACTCACTTGCTGACCTCACCAGACTGAACTTGCAGCTTGAAATATTATACCTGCCATGTGCCTTCTTCTCTCTCACGGCGGGGGGTTGTATCTGTCGTGTTGTTGGTGAGTGTAGCTGTTGGGGGATCTGTGTTGCCGGCCGTCTTTCCGAATTCCGCATTAGATTCTTTCGTGGGAATTTTGATTTTGAAATACCTTGAACTGAAAAGAGCGGTGTTGGTGGTGATTTTTATGGTACAGAGGACAGGTGAATGTTATTCCGTTTGCCCGCAGAGACGTATTCTACGAAAACGTGTGGCTCTATGGCTCTCAGAGTGCCCTAGACCGCGCCGCTGAGGACCTGAGCCGCCTGCTAGGAGTGCCTCGCCGGGGCCTCCACCTCACCATCACAGGGAAGGGTCTGGTCGCGGGGTGCCTCGCCTACACCACGCACGATGGCACCACTATCGACGTCAGCCAAGCCCAGCAAGGTACGTCGGCCAATATACACAACCAGTGTGGCTGCAGGCTGCTGTTGCACATCACTGGTAGCTGACTGCACGTGTTGATAACAGCGGCAGCATAGGTGGGTCCTCTCCTTATGACATAATCATTGCCGTTCCCAATCAGCGTTAATACGGCTCCTGAGGGGGAGCGGAGGGGGGGGGGGGGGGGAGGTGGTGGCCAGCGATTGACGTTAGCCTGAGGGTGGGCAATACGAAGCGCTGCTGTCGATGAGATTGAGCCGGGATGGAGCTCAGGAATCTCGGCCAGTGGCAACCGCGCCCAGACAATGGCTTACGGCTTCCAGTAGCAGCGGCCGAGGCATTAGGGCCTCGGTCAACACTTGGCAGACACATTGCAGTCCGTCACAGTGCGAGGTGGGAAATGCTGTGTGTAGTATTACGTAACGTATACATAAGGAGGAAATTTATGGCTTGCATTGCATTAGAGCTCAAATCTAAAACTAGCTGTATGTATGGGTGTAGTTATAATGACACTGTATGACGTGAAGTCCTATAACTAATGAAGTTACAGCTCTTGGTGCTTTAGAACGGAGAATGCCTAAAGACCGGTACTAATCGAGCGTCCGCCGTCAGGAGTGCTGGTGCCGGAATGCGTGCAGGGCCTGAGCGGCGTGGTGTCCGAGGCGCGCTACATCCTGGTGGTGGAGAAGGACGCCACCTTCCAGAAGCTGGTGGAGGCACAGCTCCATCGCTCCTTCGGACCCGCCGTTCTCATCACGGTCAGGCTTATTGGTGTCTGTATTAGCTGTGCAAGATTGCTTTGTATTCCTTTGTTTGCTTGCGAGATGAGGACCGAATGTGCTTCCTCTCCGTGTTGAGAGATCAATATCAAATACCCCTTTAATGATAGGCATTTAGTAACGCACGGAATAATGGTTATTAAAAACAAAAGAAGAGCAAAACATACCATTTCATCACTTCACTATGCTCTTTTCTCCTCCCAGGGCAAGGGCTATCCCGATGTGCTGACCAGACAGCTGGTGTTCCGGCTGTGGAGCGAGCTGCGTGTGCCAGTCCTCGCCCTCACGGACGCCGACCCCTATGGGCTCCACATCGCTGCCATCTACAAGTTCGGTTCCCTGGTAGGCTGGGTCGTCGGGGCGGCCGGCCTCGTTGTTTGCACTGCTGTCCTCAAAAAATATCTTTAACCTGCTGTAGCTGGCAATGATATTGATTACAGTTCATACAAGGCGAATTGTTGCTAGATTACTGGAGTGTGTAAATTGCTCTTCACGGTGTGCATTTACGGCAGGAGTTTCATTAGAGCCTTTTTTAAAACATATGCGGTAA